CCGCAGAAGAAAAAGGTAAGGAGAGGAAAACCCATAAAAGATATGACGACGAGAGGGAGCAGATCGGAGAAAGTGAAGAGAATTTTCCAGCAGTTTGATGCTAATCGAGATGGGGGTCTCAACAGGGAAGAGATGGCTGCATTGGTGGTCGCTGTCAACCCTAGAGTCAATTTCAGCGACGAGCAAATCAAGGCGATTGTCGACGAAGTGTTTCGTACGTACGGTGAGTTTATCGACGGGGAAAAGGGCATAACCTATGATGGGTTGTTGAGGACCTACGACGATGGGGCTGGTGATGTGGACAGGGACTTCGAGGCACTCGGGCTTGAGCTGTTTGACAACAAGGGCGTTTCGATTGCGTCAGAGGCGTCTTCCTCGTTGATTTTAGATGAGAGAACGATGGAGTCTCAGAAAAAGCACAGGACGGCGGCCTGGGCGGTGTCACCAATTCACGGCATTGTTTTTGACGATACATGGAAGCTTGTGGATGATTTGGAGATTTTGGTGAAGAGATTGAAGTCAAAGCAGGCTAAAGAGGGGAAGTTAAAGGCTGATATTTCTGACGCTTTTTCTGATGCTGGATGGTCAAGGGAATTGGGTCCATCTTCAGAGATTACGGAGAAGAGGTTGTTCTGGGAAGAATCAGGGCATGATTATGCGGTTTTTATTAAAGAATTGGGGGTGTTGAGAAGTAGAGCAGATGGGGCGAGGTCGAGGGAAGAGGCCTTTGACGGGCACATGGCTATTGGCAGGGTTTTATATGAGCACCAGCTGTTTAAGGAGGCTTTAGTGAGTTTCAAGAGGGCTTGTGAGTTGCAGCCCACGGATGGGAGACCTCATTTTAGATCTGGGAACTGTTTGTACGTGCTTGGAAAGTATAAAGAGGCCAAAGAGGAGTTCTTGTTGGCGCGGGAATCAGCTGAGGCCGGTGGGAATCAGTGGGTTTACTTGCTCCCTCAGGTTTATGTGAATCTTGGGATTGCACTCGAAGGAGAAGGTATGGTTTTAAGCGCTTGTGAACATTATAGAGAAGCTGCAATTCTTTGTCCAACTCATTTTAGAGCCTTAAAACTTTTGGGTAGTGCTCTTTTTGGGGTTGGGGAGTATAGGGCGGCAGTGAAGGCTTTAGAGGAGGCTATTTTTATAAAACCAGACTATGCTGATGCACACTGTGATTTGGCATCTGCTTTGCATGCCATGGGTGAGGATGAGAGGGCTATTGAGGTTTTTCAGAAAGCCATTGATTTGAAACCTGGTCATGTGGATGCTTTGTACAATCTTGGTGGGCTATATATGGACTTGGGTCGGTTTCCGAGAGCTTCTGAGATGTATACTAGGGTTCTAGCAGTGCGGCCAAATCATTGGCGGGCACAGCTCAACAAGGCTGTGTCCATGCTAGGGGCTGGAGAAACTGAGGAAGCTAAGAAAGCTCTGAAGGAAGCTTTGAAAATGACCAACAGGGTTGAATTACATGATGCTATATACCATCTGAAGCAGCTGCAGAAGAAGAAGGTGAAGGGTAATGGAGGTTCCAATGGGGAAGGGGCTTTTGTGGTGGTGGAACCCTCAAAATTCAAGACAGTTAGTGAGAGGACTACATTTAGGCAGGATTTAAGCAATGCTCTTCAGATTAGGGCCTTTCAGAGAGTAACAAGGTTGAGCCGTTGCGATGTGGATCTTTTGCAGAAGGAAATGGGTGAAAATGATGTACCTACATCTTACTCTGGGGGTGGTGGTCCTCAGAAATCCATTCGCAAGCCTAATTTGGAAGAAATTTTACGCAAGTTACTCAATTTTCTGAAGCCTGAAACTTTTCAAGGAGCTGTGAAAGCCATAAATGAAAAAATCCTTTCTGTTTTGGATGAAACAGGCTCAGGAAGGGTGGATTTGGGCATGTTTTATGCTGTTATTGCACCCATTTGTAGTGGATCCCCAGAGAAGCGAAAAAGGGCTGCCTTTGATGCACTTCTATGGCGACCAGTGAATGAAGGCAGTTCTCAGATTAGAAAGGTGGATGCTGTGGAATACATCAAATTTTTGAGGGCTATTTATGTTCCATCTCATGGGTTCAGTGAAATGCTTGAAGTTCATGGAGAAACAGAAACAGATTCCTCAGTGGTGTCTTTCAGTGAGTTTCAAGTCATGTTTGATGATCCAGATTGGGGTTTTGGTATCATGTCAACTCTTATGAAGCTGGAAGCTGGAGATAGGAACCGCCATGGACACCACATTTGCTCAGTTTGCCATTACCCAATTATTGGTTCCCGTTTTAAGGAGATCAAGTCTCGTTTTAATCTATGTAGTCACTGCTACAGTGAGGGAAAGGTGCCCTCTAACTTTAAGTTAGACGAGTACAAATTCAGAGAGTATGGAAGTGATGCTGAAGCAATGAAAGATAAGTGCCTGTGCTTTACTTAACAATCCCATAATATTCAGAGCTAGTTGACTTAAAAACTTTTTTTTTTCTTTTTTTGTTAAATCTTGTACTTTTTTTTTTCTTTTTTGTTAATCTTGTATCATTCCAATATCTTATTTTAGTTGTCCAGTGTGAAATATAGAGCTCACAAAATGCGTTCATCTGCCTTCATGCCCCTGTGTAATAAAAATGATTTCAATTGTGGTTCCATTGTATAATGTAGAGAGTCCCTCCCCCACGTTTTGTTTTGCTCTAATAACTGAGAAGCATTATTTTCTTCTGTATCCACAAACATCTTCATTGTTAATATTGCGGCAATCTATGTTTGTTTCTCTTTATTATGATTTCTCTACATCTAGAGCAATTTCTTTTTCTCTTTTCTTTTCTTTTCTTTTCTTTTCTTTTTTTGTTTTTTTCATTATTCAAACAGTGCCGTGTTGAAGGGGTTGATGCCTATTCCCACATGTACATGCGTACATCATGCCTTAGCTGGTGATTGAAGGGACCAGCATAGCAGTTGAAGACACTAACAATGCTTTATAAAGAAGGAAAATCATATCTTTCAATGCAGGCTGGGAAAAAATTAACATCAACCCTGTTGGAAGAAGAGTTGGTTAATTGCACATCTGATTGGGGTTTAGCGTGAAATCATCATTCTTGCTCCTTTCTAATTAATTAAATGGTTGGTGTTTAACTTTTTCTGGTTAATTAAAAGACTTGAATGTGTTCTTTGCTTGCTTTTCAATACTCTGAAGGAATGGTTGGACAAGTGAGGGTGAGAACTACTACTTCCATCAATTGAATGTTTAAATGTGGTGAGATTTACAGGTTTGGGGACATGGAAAAGGAAGAATCTCTATGCAATAAAGGGTTGTGCAATAAGAAAAAAAAAAAATTGTGTCACATCTTTTGAATTTCCATATTTTCTTAGTAAAATAAAAAACAATATAATTACCAGACAACAGCCAAACGGTTGGCAACATCCATTTTCATCATCCTTTCATTTCATTCCAATCAACTGCGATTGATTAGGTAATATGTTTGTATAATATATGAATAGGACAATCGAGATTAGGTAATACTTCGACCTCTTATATTTATTAGTAAATAAGTGTTTTTTTATAAATCAAGTTCAAATTCAAGTTTTAAAGCTAATACTTAAGAAATGATTATTTTTTTAAATACGTCAAGCTGATGTAAACATGTGATTTTAATATGATCTATGAAGAAATTAATTTCAAGTATACAACAATAAATTCAAACTTATCCTACTCATAAATATAGAAAAAAAAAAAAGGCAATGAATTTTAAATTACCATTCATAATTTCATATGTTTGTAAAAACATTACCTAAACAAATGTGATCATACTAGAGCAATTAAAAAAACAAAGGTAGTATGATTTTATTTAGTGAGACATATAAACTGATATTCATTAATTTAATGTCATTCAATTATTATTATTTTTATTTTAATATAAAAATATTTAAGAATAATGCATATTGTCTCTACTCTTATTAAAAATTAGAGACTCAACTTTATAAACACCACCTCAACAAATATTTTTAAAAACTAACAATTTAACTTAATGTTTTATTAACATAGTTCATACATATCAATTTTTAAGTTGATTTAATATTTATAATTAGGGTGAGGTTATTTCCATACTCTTAATAGTTAATATCGCACATTTTAGTTTATTTAACTATTATACTATTGCACAACACCTTTTCTTATAACTCTATATTTTTTAATTTCTTAAATGAATTAAAGGATACAATGGTCAAATAAAATAAAAAGATGTAGAATTAATAATTGAGGGTGTGAAAATAATAGTACTCTTGTAATCATTCAATCAATATATATATAATAATATTAAATTTTGTAAATTAAGTTTGGGTTAAAGCCAAATATAGTCCTCATACTTTGTGAAAATATTCATTACTGTCCCTCTACTAAGGAAATGTTCAATGTCATCCCTCTACTTTCCTTACAGAATAAATGTCATCCCTATACTATACCTTTTTTGTTCCATGTCATCCCTAATTAGATGCCATCCACATTTCCGTTAATTTTGACTATCATTTACTAACAGTCAAAAGTTTAATTTTGTTTATTAGTTTTTTTTTTACCAAATAAGACAATTGGGACCATTCTTTTTTTTTTTTTTTTTTTTTTTAACTCTTGCTTTTATTTCCTTCTCTTTCTTCCTCATGGCCATTTCCCCTAAACCATTGATGGAACAAAACCCATGCTCTTCTTCCCCATCTTCACCAATTCACCCATTCACTTGTTCCTCTTCTTCACCTTTCTTCACCAACTTTCGATCTTTCTTTCTTTCTTCGCCATCTTCACCATCTTCACCAGAAAACCCTATGCCTAAAATTACCCAAAATTGCCCCAAATTGCTGAACCCAAAATTGCCTAAAATTGCTGAAAATCATCTTGCTTTTCTTCACCCAAGTCACGCACCATCTTCACTAGTTCACCCAATCAGTTGCTCCTCTTCTTCACCCTTTTTCACCAACTTTCTGGCTTTCTTTCTTTCTACACCATCTTGACCGTAACCCACAAAATCCTACACCCAAAATCGTCCAAAAATGCCAAACCCAAAATCGCCCACAATTGCCAAAAATCATCTTGCTTTTCTTCACCCAATCACAGAATCACCCAACCCAAAATGTATTTAAACAAGTTGTTGTTAACCCATAGATTTTCTTGTTGATTTTGTGTTGATTTTGGGTTGATTTTGGGTTGTGATAACTATTGTTAATCATGAATTTTCTTGTTGATTTTGTGTTGGATTTGGGTTGGTGAGATCTGTTATTAATTGTGGATTTTGTCATTGATTTTGGGTTGGTGATATTTGTTATTAATTGTTGTTAATTTTGGGTTGTGAAATCTACTGTGATATTATGGTTGATTTGGATTTTGATACAGAGAGTTTTTGTTTTATATTGTTGTAAAAGGATGATGAGACTTGAGCTGAATTATGGATAACATGTTGTTGGGATAAGGAGCAAACACTGATGAATGAGCCTTTGTAATTGAAAAGAGAGAATCTAGACCTGCATAGAGAGATTAACTATTTGAAGAATTTGAACTTTGAAATGGGAAAAGCTCAAAGATCATGAGATGGTTGCTTCAAGTTGGTTGAATTTGAAAATGTGTTTTTTGCAGTATTGCTCCTTTGGCACAATTATGTTGTGTTAGATAGTTGTCTGCATTTGTAGAGGGTCTTTTTGTCTACTTTTGTAATGGGTCCCTTATGCCAAGTCAGGGCAATCTCCTATGTTCTACAAATGTGAAATGGAATATATGACTCCTTTTTTGTCATGTTAATTTGGCAAAATATGTCAATCTTTAAAGCATTTTCAGTTGTGTATAAATGCAAGATTTAATAAAGTAGGTAAAAGATACACTTTCATTGTAAACATTGCAATGTCATTACAAGCAACCATTTGGTTGTATAAGATATAACAGAAAAATAGGACTTAACCAAAAAAAAAGTGCAGCAGATTACAAGCATTATCATTTGGCATCTGTTAGTCTTTGTAAACCTTGCTTTATTGCTTGCTTATACAGGACATGACTTAAAAAAAATAGAGCAACAAAAACAAAAACAGTGCACCAATTCCTCTGTTATCACTATATTTTTACACCATATCCTCTATAAACCAGATACAAAAATACTAAACCAGAAAAAAAAAAAAAAAAAAGAATTGATCACACTTGTCTTATTTGGTAGAAAAAATTTAATAAATAAACTTAAACATTTGACTATTAGTAATAACGGTCAAAATTAATGGAAATGTGGATTGCATCCAATTAGGGATGACATTGAACAAAAAAGGTGTAGCAGAGGGATGACATTCATACTGTAAGGAAAGTAGAGGGATGACATTGAACATTTTCTTAGTACAAGGATGGTAATGAACATTTTCACAAAGTACGAGGACTACAGTTGGCTTTAACCCAATTAAGTTTAAATATTTCAATCAATTTAAAATTTTATGTGCATGATCTAAATAAAAAAAAATTAAATACTTGGACCCCACTATTTTAAAAATATTTAAGTCTTTGTTTTTAAAATGTGTAAGTCTTTATTTTTAAAATGTTTAATTTGGTTATTAAAGGCATAGTTGGGACAGAGTCCTAATTAAATATTTTTACTCCAATTGATTTATTTTTTGTTTAGATTAATTATATTGGAACGTGATTTAATTGCTAAATTGTAAGCTTGAATTTGGTTGCAATATTTATATAGATATTAAATTATTTGATTTTATGTTTTACACATTTATGAAGGAAAATAATTTAAGGACAACCTTTTTATACCACATTTTTATATAACCTTAAGTGTCATTTAGATAATTTGCTCTTTTTATTCATTTGAAACCCATTAAATTGAATGCATCCATTTATTTAATAACATATAGAAGTTGTATAAAGATTATACAAAAAAGTTATATGTATATCAACACATGAATGTAATAACTTTGACATATTACCCCATTCAGACTGATTCTATAACCTTTATAATTTTCATATATCAATGAAATTTAATTTCTCATTAAAAAAAATCCCTTCAGTAATCAAATTCCTTGACCCGAACTTAGAGCATGTTTTGTGAAACTTGTAAGATTTTTTACTCTTTTTTTTTTACTGTTTATGAGTAATAAATTTAAATTTTTATTGGAGAGAAAATTTAAAAATTGCTTTTAGAAATAAAAGAAAGTGAGTAAAAAGAATTTATAAAAAGTATAAATTTAAAATTTTTCAAAATTTACTGTTTAAGGTTTTTTTAAAGTTGAAAAGAAGTTAAAAAATATAAGTTTTTAAAAGAGAAATTTAAACTTATAAAATATAAATAGTGTCAAAAGGTTAAAACTCTTACAAATTTCACTAAACATGCACTGCCCTTATTCATATCCAACATTTTAAAGCCATGTGTCGGATGGAAAATTAGAAATGCTATGAGTCTGTAGTTTCCTTAGCTTCCCTCACAAGTTTAAATAATGAATAAAGAATTCAATTTAAGCACAAGGATAAGAAATATCCAAATTCAATTTATGAATCTATATTTTCTATTTATTATGAGTGAAAATAATCAATTATATAATAACATATCATATTATGTCATGTTGTAAGTTTATAATACTAAATATATAATTAAATCATTTTTGTAATTACAAATTGTGCATGAATCAATTTACAGAGATTTCTCAATCAAAATGCAATTTACAAAGATTTTATAAGATTTTTGTTGCCCCAATATTGTTGATATTTCTTGTGTTTTTTTTTCCATATGGATATTTTTACGTATCTCTATGTATTTTTTGTCCCAACGATTACAAATTGTCCAGTAATTATTTTTGCATAAATTGTGAGATTAGGTACAAAAAAAAGGACATGGCTTCAAACAGAAAACGGACATGGCTTCAAGAAAACCAAGTGTAGGATTGAAAATAGCACTCACATGAAGCAAAATGCAGGCATGGCAAGTGAGAGGTCACTCATGCACATTTTATGCACTATGATGGTCTTTATAATGATAGTGGTACTAGTGATATCAAGAGAATCACCTCTAGTGACAACAACAGAGCACTAGGTTCTACAACCTTTGGTAAAGGATTATGGCCTTTCAGATCTTCCACCCACATTTTGTGCCCTTCGGGATCCTCCACCCACATCAAGCGTTTCTCCTGGAAGCAAGGTAGACGATTATGCCATTCCAGATCCACTAGCCACATCCGGTGGAGGATTTCTTCCTCCACCCTGAGTTCTTCATGGAAAAAAATAAACTTGTGCATTTCTCCTTCTCTTTTTAGAATAAACCTGTTGAGATAGTAGCCCAATGTTGGCCCATTACTTATATCAGGTCATAAGCTCAACTCCAAGTCTATTCGAGGAAAAGCCTTGCAAGTACAAAAGCAAACCCAATTAATGACAAATGGATTGGCAAGAATTGGACATGTATCTTGGGTGTCATAAATAAGGATTATAAATACCACCCTCATCTACCATTGGTAAGGTAGTTACTCTCACTCAAGTTCTCTCTATATATTCTTTGGTTGAGAGCCTCTATTTAGAAGTTAGAGATTATTGCTAACTTGAACATCAAAGTATTTTTCTCGAGAAAAAAAACATCCTTAGATTTTGTAGGTATTGGAGTTGGATCATGTGTGGATTCAGATCTCAAACCAACCTGGACATTTTCTACTTCAACATTTAGTGTTGTCTATTGGAATTGAACCCACAACGTGAGACTTACAATCTTCTAAGGTGTAAAATGCAAAAATAACTCTAAGTGTTAAGTCGTTAAGGCATTATTGAGAATTACAAAAGCTCATCTATCACTTATAAACATAGGCTTATGCCTTGAGAGTCAAGTCATCATCTCATCAAGAACATCGTAAAGATGAGCGATTGTACTATTCCCCTTGACTTATCCGAGCTCAACTCATCAAGGGCCTAGCTCATGAAGAATCCAAAGTAGCTAAGGAAGTTGAAATTGTTGGTTACGTCATCTAGCTCAATGAGAGAATGTTGACTTAGAAAGGATACATTCCAAGTCGTTAAGGGGGCATTCAACCCATAACAAGCCTTTTGCATAGATGGAGTTAAGCTCAGATAAGACTAGACCAATGTTTTTTCAACTTGCTTCAAAAACATTGAAGTGGGAGTAGTGTTGGGATAGTTGCCCAATGTCGACCCATTATTTATATTAGGCCATAAGCCCAACTCCAAGCCCATTTAGGGAAAAGCTTTACTAGTACAAAAGGTCACTCATTAATGACAAGTGGACTAGGAGAAATTGGACACGTGTCTTGGGTGTCATAAATGAGAGCTATAAATATCTCTCACCTATCGTTGGTAAGGTATTACTCTCACTCAAATTCTTTCTCTACGTTCTCTAGTTGAGAGCCTATCTATAAAAGTTATAGATTTTTTTTTTTTTTAAAACATTGAAGTGTTTTTTCTAAAGAAATATCCTTGAGTTTTGTAAGTATTGGAGTAAGATCACGTGTGGATTCGAATATCTACTTGACCTAGACATTTTCTACTTCAACATTTGGTGCCATTTGTGTGAATCGAACCCAAAATATGAGACTTACGACCTTCCAAGGAACGAAATGCAAAAATAACACTAAGAGTCAAGGCATTATTTAGAATTACACAAGCTCATCCATTACTTGTAATTACATGAGCTCATTCCTTGAAAGTCAAGTCATCATGTCGTCAAGATTATTATTGAGAATATAATTGAGTTTGAATTTTAAAAGATCCATTAGATATTTATTTAATATTTATTAAAGATTTTAAAAGATCTATTGAGTATTTATTTGGTATTTATTGAAGATTTGTAAATGTAGTTATTAAGCATTAATTTGAAAAGGTTAAATACCCTTTTTGGTCCCTCTACTATAAGAAAAAGCCCTTTTAGTCCCTATACTGAAAAAATCCCTTTTTTGGTCCTTTAAGTTTAAAATCCGATCCCTTTTTAGTCCCTCCATTAAGTTTGGCTAATGTAGCAGGTTAATTAACAAAATTGTTTAATTTATTTTCTTTGTATAAATGACATGGAAAATATAAAAATAAAAAATGATGATGTGGCATCCCGCATAAACATTAAACATAACATATAATTATAAAAACAAAAGTTTCAAAATTGACCTTAACCATCCTTGTTCACCGTTCAATCTTTTCCCATGCAGACATCCCAAATCAAGAAAAGAAAATACTATATCAATAATTTCATATAATCAAAGATCTAAACAAAAAATGATAGTAATACAGCAACACAAATTTGGGTTTCATGGACAATTTCACATAATCAAAGATCTAAACAAAAAAATGATAGCAACACAACAACATGCGAGGAACCCAAGCACCTGGGTTCGCAACGAACCTAGTGATAGCAAAACAGCAACACGTGAGGAACCCAACGAACCCAAGTGCTTGGGTTTGCGATGAACTCGACGAACCCAAGCACTTGGGTTCGCAAGGAACCCAAGGGCTAGTGCTTGGGTTCATGAGGAACCTAATGCCTCGGTGTTTTGAACCCAAACCCCTGGGTTCACCTTTCCAAATCTGATTTCCAAAAGGCAAAGGTCAAAAAAAAAAAAAAACAAAGGCCAGAGGAAAGAAAGGATAAGATAGAAGGTGGAAGAAGTGGGGGCAAATTAGTAATCAAAGTCAAGTACTCCTAATCACAAAATAACCTTTAAAACATTTATAATGGCAATTATGTAATTACATTATTTTTAAGGTTATATTAGACCAAAAATTTGGTCATGTCATCAATTTTTGCTAGATGGATTTTTTGTGTAATTTAAGTAAAGAAAAAAAAAGTTTTTTTGTTAATTAACTTGTTACATCAACCAAAACTTAATGGAAGGGCTAAAAATGTCAAACTTTAAGGACCAAAAAAGAGATTTTTTCAGTATATAGACTAAAAAATGGCTTTTTCCTATAGTAAAGGGACCAAAAAAGGTATTTAACCATTTGAAAAGGCTCAATGGTTATTTATTCAGGACTTATTGATGAATTTAACAATTTTTATAATATAATAAGATGATGATTAATTTAGGGAGGGTTAGAAAATTGTTTCCAAAAAAATCCTAAAATTTAGAATTCTTTTAAATTAGTACCTTGTAGTTTCAAATGTACCCTTCTCCTAAAACTATATATCCCTCAACCTTGCAATCTTACTTTCATCCTTAACTTAAAGGCACTATTGTGTTTATCAATGCTTATGTTCAATGTAATAATCATAGCTAAAGGCAAACAATAGTTCAAGCACTAAAATTGCCTAAAATTGAAAGTTGATGGACTAGATTTCACATTTAACATTAACTCTTTTATATTTGGTAAGAAATTGATATGTGAAAAGTTGGTAAGGTAGTGTTATCAAGTAGATCTTACGTAGAGAAAGTTTGGAAAAATCGTTTTTCCCTTTAAAAAGTGTGGGAAAAAAGGTTTATGGATGGAAAAATAAGTCATCTTTATTGACACAACTTGACGTGCCTATAAGTGTAGGATATAAAATAGCGCTACAAGCATGGCAGGTAAGAGGTTAGTTGTGCACATTTTGTGCATGACGATGGTGTTTACAATGACAATGGTACCAGTGACACCAAGAGAATCACCTTTAGTGATGGCAACAGAGCACTAGGTTCTACAAGCTTTGGTAAAGAATTATAGCATATGGATCCTCTATCCGGTGTTCCTAATGGGAAATATGCTTCACCTATTCCTCATAGAAATGAGGTAGATGATTATGGCCTTCTAACTCTTCCCCCCACATCTGATGGAGGATCTCTTCCTCCAATCAACATTTCTCATGGAAAAGATCCTACACCATTTCCTCAGGGACATAAGGTTGATGATTATGGCATTTTGAATCCTCCCTCCATAGAAGGATCTCTTCCTTTACCAGGTGTTCCTCATGGAAAAGATTTGATGCCTCTTCTTGAAAACGAGGTTGATGATTATGGCATTTCAAATCCTCCCCCTACAAGTCTCCACCCAAAGTCCTTATGGAAAAGATTTGATACCATTTCCTTATAAAAATGAGGTTGATGATTATAGCATTCCAAATCCTCCCCCTACAGAAGGATCTCTTCCTTCACCTAGCGTTCCTCATGGAAAAGATTTGATACCTTTTCTTCATGAAAATGAGGTTGATGATTATGGCATTACGAATCTTCCCTTCATAAGAAGATCTCTTCCTCCACTCAGCATTCATAATGGAAAAGATTTGATACCTTTTCTTCATGAAAACGAGGTTGATGACTATGGCATTATGAATCCTCCCCCCACAAGAGGATCTCTTCCCCCACCCAATGTTCCTCATGGAAAATTAGCCTAAGCAATTCTTCTTCTCCCTTATAGGTGTCCTTTGAAGACTATCTATGTCATTCTTATATAGCAGCTTCATTTTATTCAATAATATTTTAGTATGCCTTTCTTTTAGTTTTTCTTCTCTTTTTTCCATGCTTTAACTTCTTGCATATTCTCTTTTTCAAAATCAACCCATGCTTATCACGCCATTTCTAGCTTTGGCAAACAAAATGAAGGTCCACTCTCTTGAATATTGAAATCAATTACCTATTCTTCTTGTATTTGCTGATTGTAGTTTTATCGCATTAATTTGTACCCATAGTGGTAGTAATGTTTAAGTAATAAATTTTTTTTATTATTTATATGCTCAAAGGAATCTAAACTTTAGTTAGAGTGTCTGTCTAATTAATGTTTTAAGGGTTGAAGTTTAAAATACATTAATTGCATTATTTTCACATTAGTTTATAAAGAAAAATACAAAAACCAACTTAACTTTCGACACCAATGACATGTGTACAATTTTAATTTGATGGTTGATAAAATTAAATTTCAAGACTTTCCATTTCTTTTCTTCTTAAGGTATTTTCCTTTTAAGTGATTTTTGGCTTCTCACCCTTGTTGGTTTGACCTAACTGTGAGGGCAAAAACTTACTTTCAGCCCTTTACCTTACCAAATTTGAAAGTTTTAACCCATCACCTTATACTATAATGCTTTTAGCCGCTCTCCTTACTAAATTTATAGGTTTTAGCCCCTCACCTATTAAAATCGAAGAAAATAGCCTTTATTTTATACTGATTTTTAATTCTGTTAATTGAAAGTAAGTTTTTGTCAACTAACAGTTAATTAATAGTTAGTTAATAGAATTAACGAAATATTATAAAGTTAGTTTTATTAACTTTGTTAACTGAAAAAAGATTTTTGTAAGCTAACAGTCAATTAACAATTAGTTAATAGAGTTAACAGTCAGTTAATAGAATTAATAAAATGTTACAAAGTGAGGGTTACTTTTTTTTATTTTAATAGGTGAGGGACTAAAACCATTATAGTATAAGGTGAAGGGCTAAAACTTACAAATCTAGTAAGGTGAGGAGTAAAAAATGTCATAATATAAGGTGAGGTGTTAAAATCTTTAAACTTAGTAAGGTG